GTGTGTGTGTGTAAGTATGTATGTATGTATGTATGTATATATATATATTTCTATTATATATATATATATGTGTTAGAGTTTTATATTCTGTAAAAATAATTGCGGTTTAATGATATCACAGAACAGAATGATGAGTGTAGAGTATGTACCGAAAACTGATACTTGACAGATACCTTTTTGTTAGTGTACACACCTAATAGTTCGGTACTTGGGCAGTTGGGCCAAGGTCGTCTTACTTGGGCGCATAAATATCGACACTGTTGAGTTTTTTGTTTTGTTTTTTGTCGTGTGACGGTCTGGTCAGTGGTGTGGAGAGTGGAGACTGGAGCAGTGGAGAGATGTGTGTGGACTGTGGAGTGGTGGACTCGTGAGTCGTGAGTCATGAGTGGTGGCCAGTGCTCGAGAATTCAATGGTTGCCTTGGCTACTGCTCAAACGACTCATCATATCTGAATAGCCGACCTATTGTCCAGAAATCCACTCTTAGTTCCTCAGTCCTCAGCTCGTCTACTACTTAAAATATAGCATACATACAACACAGTACACACTACATACACACTGAGACAGTCTGAGAGTCTGAGACATATGCCATAGTCATAAGTCAAACGACAAACACACCCCAGATAAAAAACTTTATCATTAAAACCAGGCCTTGATAAAATGTCTTCCGCATAGTTATCTAACTCGTAGAATTGTCAATATTTGACTCTTTACTCTTTTCAACTCTTGACCATGGCTCTCTCTCGAAAACCCGAGTGTCTCGACTCTCGGTCTGACCGGTTCGCAACTTCGCCGACGCGAGAGAGAGAGAGGGTGACGCGAGAGACGGCGAGAGTGACGACTGTGACGTCCAACTGGACGACTGCGAGTATTCTTTTGTTTTTTTGTTTTTTCTTTAAAAACAAACTTGAAATTACAAACCGGTGCTCATACTCTCTCAGTGGTCTCAGTCAGTCTGAGTCAGGCCTGGTCTCAGAACGGCTAAAAAGTGGTTTTACATACATATTCGGTTTTCCACTCTGACTCACTGACTGTGCAGTGTGCAGTCAACTGCAGTGTGCACTGTGTTCAGTGTTCAGTTGTTCACACAATAGAGAGGGAGAGTGATGAGAGATGACACAAGTGACTTCACTTCACTCACTGTTCACAGCTTCACTGAAGTTCACTGAGACCTGTTCAGAACTTCAGTGTTCAGTGTTCAGTTCACTGATCAGTACTGATCACTCTCCTGACTCTCTCCTTCTCTCTGATCACTCTCCTGACGCTCTCTATCTCTCTTTCTCTCTCTCTCTCTATCTCTCTCTCTCTCTCTCTCTCTCTCTCTTGTTGTAAAGTTGTAATTTTGTTGTGTGTAAAAAACCCTATAGCCTCCTTGTTCTTTTTAGGAGGCTATGGTAAAACAATTGTTGCTCGTTCAATCGTTTCGTCAATTTTTGAATTTTCACGCTTGGCTTCTCTAATGTTCCTTTGTTTTATCTCTACATTTTGTATAATTTTTTGACAAAAACGAAACCAAAAACAAAAAGAGTATGTAGTATCTATTAACAGTTGTACGTACATAATTCTATACTCATACTTCGCAAGTTCGCATAGTCGTTACTCTACACTTTGAGGTCTACACAGTGCGCATTTGTTGCCTGATACAGCTGGTGATATAAAATAATAATAAATATGAGTCATAATATAAAGTCCGAGCACCCTACACTTACAGTTCTACACCGCAACAGAATACATACCCACATTTTTCGAGTTTCTAATTGCAGTATTTAAAAAGCAGCAACCAAGCACTGTAGCACCTCACTCTATAGGTAAAGAAGAAGTTGTACATGTGGCTGTACATTAGATCCGGTTTCTCAGTATATCAATACCAAGCTTAAGTTTTAATTACATAGCTATAGCGTAGATTAAATAGGTAGTACTTAATATCATAGTAACTTCCAATATGTCCTTGATTTCA